GTCCCCCAGTGTGGCACTTCAGGGTGTGCCCCAGGATGGCTGCCTCAGTGGAACCATTGGATCCTTAGTGATCCCTGAGAAGATAGCTCTTGATTTTTCATATCTAATTTTATCCACATTAAAAAAAATTTCTCATGAGTTTGTTTACTTTCAGTTCAGAAGCAGAGATAAAACGGAAGGGCAGTATGTGGCCTGGACTCCTGTGCTCAGCAGCCCGGCCCTGGGCGGCGTGTGGCCTGGACTCCTGTGCTCAGCAGCCTGGCCCTGGGTGGCGTGTGGCCTGGACTCCTGTGCTCAGCAGCCTGGCCCTGGGCTGCGGGACACACAGCACTTCTCTCTGAGCCCCAATTTTCCAGAAAAGGAGGAAGCCTGAGTTCACCTTTATGGTCTTCCTAATAAATTTCATAACTCTTGCTTCTAAATTCTTAAGGAGTGCCATCTGTGGCCTTAGCCCCGCTCCCATAGATTCCACTGTAGTGACGGTCATTCACAGTATGCATTTGATCTTCATTACAAGTGATCAAAACAGTTTTGAAACTCAGAAATGGCACACAGAATTCAGAGTAACACTTCCAGACTGCTGGCAGGACGTGGGTCTCCCTGGCCTGCTGACCCAGCGCCAGTGGGTCTCTTTCTGCTCCCACAGTCTCTCCCCTTGCAGTGTTTTCTCCGTGCTTTTACTTGTTTCTGTAACACCGCTGCAAATGTGTTCAAACAAACCTTCCTCAGTGCCTCCCGTGAGCTGGTATAGGGGTGGTACCCTGAGGATGGGGTTCGGATCTGGGCCCTTTCCTCTCAGTGGAGCTCCCTGTCACTCTCTGGTCACCTGCTGTGGCACAGGGCACACACCTCAAGGAGGCAGACAGGTGGCACAGGGCTGTCGAGCGGGCTGTGTGCTCTCAGCCCTGGCTCTGCTGTGGGGCCTCACCTCTTTAGGCCTCAGTTTCTTCACCTGTGGACTGTGGGTGATAATAATAACACATTATAGAGCTGCTTTAAGGATACAGGAGTCAATGTATGTAAAATACTTAGTGTGGTACCTGGCACAATGCAAATAACCGCCATTATTCTTTTTTCCTTTATTTGCTGATGGTGGCTGATGCCTTAACCATCCTTTTTGAAATACTCACATTAACACTTTCTGTGAAAGTGTGCATTTTGCCCCTGTCTATGACTATAAAATAAGGATCTGTGGGGAAATCTTAGGACTCATCAAGCTTAGAAATGAAGGTTCAGGGCCATGATATGGGAGTGTGCCAGGAAGGCAGATCCCCACTCTCCCTGCTGCCTGGGGACGTGGCTATGCAGTGTGTGCAGCTGGAGGAATCACAGGTAAGCAGAGGTGTTTGGACCAGTCAGCAGTCTGGTCGGAAAGCGTTTGTCTCAGGCCTCCACAGAAAAGAAACCAGCTTTCCGGGGAGGTGGTACGAAGGCAGGCAGCCCCCAGATGCAGACAGGGTCTGTGAGGAGACAGAAGTACAGGGTCTGTGAGGAGATGGCACTCTGTGAGGAGGCAGGATACGGGGAGGTGGGCCTGGCCAGACTTGCAGGTGGGCTGAGGAACCAGCGTGCCAGGCAGGGGGCAAGGGTTCTGGAAACAGACGCAGGAGTGGATGCACTGTCTGTCTGCAGAGCCCACAGCTGGGCACCCTCCTGCCAGGCAGCACGCCGGCTGCTGTGCAGCATTTCAGAGATTTACTAAAATAGTACAGCTAAATGCATTCTTTTTCTGAGTGTTAATGGATTTCCTGATAAGTAGGAAATGTGGCAAATAGTGAAGAAAAAAATTACCGAACAACACAAAGATTTTTAGATTTTGTGTCTTTCTTACCTTTTAGTGTGTGTTCACGTGATAGTTTTATCTGGTCACGTGCCATTTTATAGTCTGCTTTTAAAATTTAATACTCGTGCATGGCTTTTGGTATTTATAATTGCCCTTAATCATAATTTTTAAAGCTATATAACATCACGTAATATACCTTTCTTGTTCATTTATTCTTTGGGGCAGATTTCAGGAAATCAAATTATTGTTTCAATTTCCACATTTATACAGTTTTATTAATGTATCAGAGTAAACCATCCAAAAGAATTACACAGAATACCTGGGTACAGGTTTTACCAAAGCCTTTTCAGTATCGTTCTCACCACTAAAAATAAATTGTCTAATATAATAAACACTAACTGGTATCACAGAATTCTTATTTTAAGAATTTTAAGTGACTGATTATAATAAACCATGAACTTTCTCACCTGTTTTGTTCTCATCATTTTTTGAGACGGAGTCTCTTTTTGTCACTCAGGCTGGAGTACCATGGTGCGATCACAGCTCACTGCAGCCTCGAACTCCTGAGCTGAAGTGATCCTCCTGCCTCAGCCTCCTGAGTAGCTGGGACTACAGGTGTGCGCCACTGCCCCTGGCTCTCAGCTGTTTGCTTTTTACTCCATGGGTCTCTGCTGTAAGGTGTAACTTACAATGAAGTGCACATCTCCA